TGTTCAACACGATTAAATCCCAGGTTTCTATGAAGCATGACCTTGTTCAATAAACAACACATGTAAAACAACGGGTCAAATATTTGTTATAAGTTGTCTTCCCAATCACATGTATGGTGCTTGCTGTGCAAATTTGAGCACAGTTTCAAGTCGTTCACTGTTTGTAAAATATGATTCATACCGTTACATACGGCGGTTTATGGTTCTGCATGGTTTATTGTATTGACAGTTGTTTTAACTTCCTGCAGAGATTTATACACCCGTATAAGATCTTTGCTTCTGGATACATGGGAAATCAATTGGTTGGCCCTTAGTTTGCAATTATTCTCCTGAAAAATAATTCGGTTGCATGATATATTCACGATGTTTGGCTTGAACATAGTAACATTCTTCTGAACATACTTCAAATTTAAGCCGGAAGTAATCACAACAAAAACCCAGTTAACCAAACGGAACCGTACACAAAAGTAGTGAGTGAGTGAGTTGGGTTTAACGCCGCATTGAATAGTATAATTCCAGTTATATCACGGCGTGTCAGCTTGATGTGGAAGGAAAGCCCGAAGCGATGCAGGTGTTAGACGTTCACCACTTTGGTGAGACCCATGAGCACGGGTATAGTGCTGACAACATAATCGGGGCGAACCGGGATTCGAACACACTGTCATAGGTTTCTGGCGTGCCCAAGGGACACCACTCTGCATAGCGAATTGCAGCGCATAAGGCGACTTTGGCCAACCTGCCCCGTACACAACTGTAACAAACTATCATACAACAAAGATGTGGAAGATGAGATATGTATTGCGTAACATTACATGAAGAAACAGTGGCAATATTACACTATAACAAACTATCATACAACAAAGATGTGGAAGATGAGATATGTATTGCGTAACATTCCATGAAGAAACAGTGGCAATATTACACTATAACAAACTATCATACAACAAAGATGTGGAAGATGAGATATGTATTGCGTAACATTCCATGAAGAAACAGTGGCAATATTACACTATAACAAACTATCATACAACAAAGATGTGGAAGATGAGATATGTATTGCGTAACATTCCATGAAGAAACTGTGGCAATATTACACTATAACAAACTATCATACAACAAAGATGTGGAAGATGAGATATGTATTGCGTAACATTACATGAAGAAACAGTGGCAATATTACACTATAACAAACTATCATACAACAAAGATGTGGAAGATGAGATATGTATTGCGTAACATTCCATGAAGAAACAGTGGCAATATTACACTATAACAAACTATCATACAACAAAGATGTGGAAGATGAGATATGTATTGCGTAACATTCCATGAAGAAACAGTGGCAATATTACACTATAACAAACTATCATACAACAAAGATGTGGAAGATGAGATATGTATTGCGTAACATTCCATGAAGAAACTGTGGCAATATTACACTATAACAAACTATCATACAACAAAGATGTGGAAGATGAGATATGTATTGCGTAACATTCCATGAAGAAACAGTGGCAATATTACACTATAACAAACTACAAAATATATGCACAATAAGTGCAAAACACAGAAGTACATTCAACATACAGAGAAGGCACATTATAACAAGTTTATTTTAAAACAAGTGTATTATAATGATGTGGAAACAATATGAGAATTGAGCCAAACACTTCTGATAGATGTAGAGGGAAAAGGGCTTCACTTTGAGCTCCTTACTTTCTTTAAATACCGCGATCTGTGACATTATAAAGTAGTATAAAGGCAGATATAATACAAATTTATAGATGTAAACACATTTGATGATACATCTGTGTGTTTAAAGTTGATTTTGACAGCCCGGACCAAGTCGGACCCAACACAAGCCAAACACTTCTGATGGAGACTATGTTGAGAATGGAGAGGGAAAAGCACCTTGCAATTGTTTTCTTTAAATACCGCGATCTGAGACACTACAAAGTGATATATAGGTAGATATTATACTAGTTGATAGATGTGAAACCATTTGATGTTACATCTGTGAGGTTTAGTTGATTTTGACGGAACGAACACTTCTGACAAAGATATTCTTAAGAAAATACAGTAAAAGTGTTTGACTTTAACGGATCAGTTTTCTTTCAATGCGATGTACTGTGCCATTATAAAGTGCTATATAGGTAGATATAATACCAGTCTATAGATGTAAACACATTTGATGATACATCTGTGTTTTAAGTTGATTTTGACAGCCCGGGCCAAGTCGGACCGAACACTTGTGAGACTGCTGAGAGTATGGGGAGAAGAGGTCTACTTTAACCAACGTGTCTGCTTTAAATACGATGAACAGTGACATTATTAAGTGGTATTTACTTAGATATAGTACTGTCCTATAAATGTAAACGCTATGCCGACCGATGGAAATGTGTATCACGATAGCTAGAAGTATTTGATACGTTTCAAATCCTATTTCGTTTAACGATTGCCCTTTTACATGTTACCTAGATCAGCGAGGCTTACACACAGCTCCACTTTCTGGTTTTCAAGCGAACCCGAATCACTTAATTATGGTGCACGTTCATGGTTGATGATTGTTCATTAATGTCATGTGTGTGTGTTGCATCAATGATATATAGGTATGGTCGCCGATAATGGAGTAATTAGCCGATACAACTTTGGCCCGTCTTGGCCCGTCTTGGCCCGGCCCGGTCCGACTTTTAGGCAATCCCGTCAATTAGCCAGTTCAAGAGACAAAACCCTGGTTCTACCACCTTTAGGTGTAATTACGTCGCATGCCCCTGGTTCTACCACCTTTAGGTGTAATTACGTCGCATGCCCCTGGTTCTACCACCTTTAGGTGTAATTACGTCGCATGCCCCTGGTTCTACCACCTTTAGGTGTAATTACGTCGCATGCCCCTGGTTCACGGTTCGTCTGATCTCCCGTCATAAAACCACGATGTTTATTTACCTGGAGCCTCAGATAGCGCCGAATTCCTGTGTACATGTACGTACATGGCAATAAATGGTTTGACAGTTGTTTGACGGAATCAGTCAATAATTATTGACACAGTGATGTAATTAAAATTTGTCACTATTCACAACTCTTATTTTGTTTTTTTCTATTGTTCAGCTGTATTTTCGATCAGTTGTATATGTATAAAAAATCTTCTCTAGTATTTATAAACCAAACCTAAAAACATTATATGAGAACAATTGTGTTTTTAAAACGTAAGTTTTCTATTAAAACAACCATGCAAGTAAGATTTCAGCCGTAATATTACTTTAGTTACTCCACAGATTACACATCTTATATGCTGCAAACGCAGCGAATGTAATGCTAATACGTCACAGATGCCTCGGTAATTAAGGGCTGGAATGTTTTTGTGAAGGCAGTTAGAGCAGACGAATTTCCCCCCTCGCTGTATAATGACGGTCGCTAACCATATATATGTATTTGTCGTGTTTTTGGCTTGATTTGATTGTCAATTGGTGAAAACAAATGTTCATTTGTGAAAGCAAACCCTTTTCCCCTGAACGTTAAAAGACAGGAGACTTGTTTTTGTCTGAAATATCAACGTTGAAGTCGTTTATATATTCGGAAATCCATATTATGGTAAATATTTATTAAATGCTCGTGGGTTTAACTGAGGTGGTAAACGTTTGAAACCTGCATCACTTCGGGCTTTCCTCCCACATTAAGCTGACACGCCGCGATATAACTGGAATACTGTTAAACGCGGCGTTAAACCCAAATAACTCACTCACTCAAATTAAAATTATTCTTTTGAACTATGGATTTGCGATTGTATTGATATCCTTAGGTATTGGTGATAAAAGCATGTTCATATCTGTGTTGAAACACAGACTGGTGGACAAAATACAACAAACTTAGTGCAGCAAAGTCAACAATCTTTCAAACTCATAATTTTACAAACATTTCTTATCACTTTCAATATTTAAATGTTCCCATGTCGCTTTATCTAAGATGGACATATTCACATTGTTTCTAACTTATTATGTTTAATTGTATGTCCTAATACTGGTATATTGCACGGGATGAATTCTAACCTAAACAGAATTAGTGACTCGGCTAAACAGTGGATAGTATCCAAAAGTCCAAATAAGACAGAGGCAATGCTTTATTCTTTAGTGAATGAAATTAGCTTGATAAACTTATTGTTTGAAGACAAACATGTAAACATAATTGAAAGTCATAAGCATTAAAGAATAATGTTTTGGTTAGATAGGAAGTGTTCCTGTCGCATATAAAATAGTGTTGCGAAAACTTCAAGAGTGATCTTTTCCAAGTCGCTATTGAATAGAAATATGCTTCCTGACACAGTATTTATAAGACATCACTTAACGAAATGGAAGTGAACAAGGGTTAAGTTTATGGTTAGAAACACTTCAGATGAAAACAGCACCAATTATTACAGGTCTTCCTCGAGACACTTCCTACCAGTGTCTCTTCTTTGAAACAGCACTAGAAACATCCGAGAACGCAGAGCAAAAGGAAACAGTCTATTTTACGATATCTACATTTCATTGTACATATAACACCCTTAAAATTTAAAGGACCTTGTTGAGCAAACTATCACAAAAATTTAAGATACTCTGAAATATTTCTTTGCAAAAAACGTAAAGCAAGGATTCTCATGAATCATTTCCTTATCAGCAATTAGTATGTCATGACCCGTCATGTGCTTGTGGAAATTCCTACCAAAATACATACCACTATTTACTTGAATGATACTTTCAAGAAGTAAAGGACGCCCGTTTTTCAGATGACTTTAGTTAGTCTGTCATCTTATCTTTTGATTGGTATGGATGAGACCAAACGATGTGTGCTGGTATCATCACTAAGTGACGCACCCTGTTGCACTGTTGTAGTGAATGTTTACTCAATGCACACGTGACATGTTCACATAAGCTCCGCCCACTCATGAATATTGTAGACTAAAGACCATTGTAGGTTTAATGGCACAACACACGTCTTCGGAAAGGAGAATTCTAAGCTGTGAGAACTTATCACCGTTCCACATTAAATACAAAGGTAAAACTTTAACTCCGGGTACTTAATTTCACTGTGTATATGCATATGCCATTTATGGTCATATAAAGACATACTTATGAAACAAAGCGATGTTAGCGCTGCGATTATCATAAGTCTGTGTTAAAATGTGAGAACTTCGACAGTCGTTGCCCAAATACCACGAGGACACAGCATGCTTTCCTGGGTCGTTACAACTGCCATACTTCTTCACTCATGCATGATCGTTGAGGGAAGTATTTATAGAATGAATTGATGTGGTCGAGCATATAAGGCGACTTTGTCCCACTAGATGTCGCTGTCTGGTTGTGGCAGAAAGCTTAACTCTATCAACTCAACCTCGTTGTTACCCGGCCCTGCAAATGCGACAGCTGGCTGCATTCTGTGTCAGGTAAGAATCTCACACAACATGTTGCATTGCCGACATTGTTTCTGTTTCCCAGGGCGCTAATTAAACAGAGGTGATGTTTCACTTTCTTACGGCACTAATTACACGATATTTCACATTGGCGACCAACTCGCGATCGTGCCATTCCGGGACATGCCGAATGTAGACTCGTGCCCTTCTAAAGGCTTCCATCTAATATCGTGTCAACACGCGAACGACTTCAAACAAGAACGACAACTCTTATTCTACCCGCGTCTTACAGTATAATGTGTGTAGGCGTGACAGCAGCACTGGCTTATTCCTGTTGTGAAAGTATTCCCTCTATCCACATGTGAAACATAATGAGCTACAAAGGCTTGCCTAATTACAATTGTACAATATCCGTGGAGGAATATTCCGGGTAGAATAGGTCTTCAGTAACCCATGCTTGCACTAAAAGGCGCATATGCTTGTCGTAAGAGGCGACTAACGGGTTCGGGTGGTCAGGCTCGCTGACTTGGTTGATACATGAGTAGTATAGGTAATGGGGGTTCTGGCTCACTTCCACTGGAGCCGGATTCATATACCTATACTGCTACTACAGATGGAATTTTTTATGCCAAAATGACTATGCAATTCAATGATAGTCATGAGATTAAGTTAAATTGACTCTAGCTCACCAATACCTGGGGCCAATCATTGCTTCTATTAGTATAAAAATGATTATGCGATTCAACGAAAGTCGTTTTAAAAGAAATATCAATATTAATTAATAATGGATAAAATTGACTATAGCCCACGAGGATATTGGAAAGGTGTAGGAGCAATAAAAAAATTAGCCACCACGGCTAAGGTATCTAAAGATGTGGCCAAGGATTGGTTAAAGAAACAAGCGATGTGGCAAATATACTTACCAGCACTGCGTTATATACCGAGGAAGAAGTTTGATATTTTTACGACGAATGAAGTTCATCAGGCTGACCTCTTGTTTCTTCCCCACGATAAGGTAAAACGCAAAACGTATAAATACGCTTTAACAGTAGTTGATGTGGCTAGTCGATACAAAGAGGCTGAGCCATTAACATCGAAAGAATCAACAGAGGTAGCTAATGCACTGAGTCGCATATATAAACGCGGACAGCTAAAATGGCCTAAGCTATTTCAAGTAGATCCCGGTCGCGAGTTTATGGGATCGGTAACTAAACTGTTAACAAAGAACGATGTCGAAATCGTCCGTGGTGAAAGAGAGGCCCACCGCAGTCAAGCTATCATCGAAAGATTTAACAGGACATTAGCGGAACGTTTGTTTGGCTATCAGTATGGGATCGAAATGAAATCGGAGCGATTGAGATCAACCGAATGGGTGACACGATTATCAGCCGTTGTATCAGGGCTGAATAATGAAGTAACGAGATTAATAGGGAAGAAACCATCTGATGCTATTAAAATGAAATCCGTGACTTCCGAATCTTCAGCACCAAGGAGAGGCAAAGAACGAAAACTTCCGGATAGAGTAAGGGTAAGATATTTATACCAGGCCGGTGAACTCGAAGGAGGCCTACGTCGCGCAACCGATCCCATATGGTCCCTTAAGACGTAAAACATTAGTCGATTGGTTACGAAAGAAGGAGAGCCTATTCTTTATTATCTTTAAGATGGACCGGGTAGGGCATTTGTACGAGAAGAGTTGTTCATAGTTCCCGACGGTACGGTATTACCACCATAACCATGAGCATAGGTATTTACACCATCATTATCAATCCATCTCTTTGTATCTAAGGGGGATAATGATGTCTTGTTCATTCTTAATCCATATATCCTATGATTGTAACTTCTTAAAGAGATCATCTCGTGTTTGAACGTTCTACCGTTAAATAATGATTCTTTATACTGTTCGTGTTTGATATGCTTTTTTACAACATACTTCTTAACACCCTTAGCTTTTCTTATCTCTCCATTATCGGACTTCTTTATAGAATACATCTTAGGTCTTAATCCCACATACTCCGCTATAGGGGTCCCAGCACATTCATCCTTCATCTTACCTAACACCTTTTTATTTCAACGCTGTGCAGTGGATTATCTTTTGGGTAATCGCTCGTGTCGTACATATCTATTTTTTCTGCCATATCTTTATACACATCCTCGGTTTGTATTTCCATCAACAAAGAATCTGTGTCGGTATATAACACCTCGCATCTATCGCCGTATTGCTTCTTAAGTTCGTTGTAATAAAAGTCATACATTAAATGTTTTGACAAGTCGAGAATACTCATACCGACGTACACCGGTCTGTTGAATTTTATATTACTCTTCTGCATATGCAACGCGGCTAAGTCGTTATTGAATATCTTGCTTCTGTTAAAAGCCGGACTGGCTATAAGTTTCCTGAGTCTTTCTTCCTCATTAGATCTGACTAATTTAACATCAACACGCTTCCTTAGATTCTCCATAGTTTTACCAAATACTGAGTTATTCATGAGCTTATACAGATTCTTTTCGAAATCGCTGGTAGCTATCTTTCTTAAATCTGTGTTCAACCTTATATAGGGCTCCATCCAAGGGCTTTGATCAAACTTTAGAACTCTGTGTATTTTCTTAAGTTTCATACCTAACGATAGATACAACTGGAGATTTCTATAGTGAACTATATATTTTGTCTTATCCATCAAATTTGGTACGAGTTTTTCTACGTTAGCTAACCTACTATTACCCATCAAGGAGCGTTGATATTCCGACATCCAATCTTTATTAACCATTAATCTTTCGGGAGCTAGCGGATAACTGTTATGATCTTTATGTAACGAACTTGGATATTCCAAGTCAACTTCTAGTATGTACCCTTTATTCACATCATTCACATTGATATTATTCACATTGATATTATCATTCTCATCGACCCATTCAAAACCACCCGTGGGTAAAGGTTGACTCATAGCCCATCCGTACAAATTGTTGGCGTCGAGATATAATATGTGAGTGTCGGGTTTACTCGGATCGTATCCTTCCACTAATTTATTATTAGCCTTAGAATACCTTTTAGCTGCCATCGATATACCACCTCTTAATCCTTTCTCAATAAACAAGTGCATATCGTAATCTGTGAGTAATTTTAGTTCTACGCCGGTCTTCTTCAACAATGCATCCCACGATAGTCTGGGACTGGAATAGTACCATGCCGGGTCCAAGCCATATTGTTTGAAACATGTCTTTCTAAATATCTCGAATATATCGGCGAGTAACAATACATCGGTTTTTAAGTAAGTGATAATCGCCTAAATTCTTACAACCTAATTTATCCCAGACCGTCAGAGCGTGTTCATAATCGGCATCTGTTATTCTAGATTCTGTTAAGTTACTATAGAATGATTCGAGGGGTGGTAATTCAGTTTCTTCGAATCTAGACCAATCATCCATATATTCGTAAGGATATACACCTTTTCTCAGCAACAAATGACGAGTTATCTTATCGGTATATTTATTTGTTATCGCGAAGTCATCGGGATTGTTCGCATTAGCTAAATTGTCCAGGGAAGATAACAGAAACTGTACGGAGTCTATGAATCTAAGCCGATTACTTTGCTTTGTTCTAGATTTCCCATCCTTGTCCCTATAATGTATAGGTTTAGTCAACGAGAACGATATGTATTTTTCCATATTATTAGGAATGCACGTTAAACCGCCGTCGGTCTTCGAGATAGCTTGCATAATGAGATGTGAATCGTATCCCCTAAGGTTATGAAACACAACGGGGATGGGTATTGTTTGAGAGTTTATTTTTAGTTTCAAGTTACACTCGTTATGAGCGGCTCCCCGATAATTACCCGTGACGTGACAATGATCTCTTACAGAATCCCCATCCAGGGGTTTATTACAACCGTGACAACTCGTTGACTTCTTATGGACCCTCCAATCATCCCTCGTCATACGCATGGGTTTCTTACACAATAATTTTTCCCTGATTATTCTCTCTTCATTTTGTAGATATTCTAGGAACTTTCCCGCTGCATCGGGACCTCTGTAAATCACGGGAGTGTTTGTTTCCCCATCATACCTTACAACTATATATCCAAACCCACAAGGAATATGTTCTTGAGTTTTGTAGGTAAAACTACTTTCTTGATTATTATGGTTGGTATTTTCTATGGGTTTGATAAGCGCTTTGAAGTCGGCGTAAATTACGTACGGTACTGGCATTTGATTACAATAATGTTCAAATTTTAATATATTTTTTCCCTCTTTAAGCATATCGATCCTGATAGCATTCTGTCCAACACCTCTACAGTCTTCTTTATGCGCTTCTAATAGATCTTGTCTGCTGTACCCATGCAGGCATCTTTCGCAGAAATATTTCTTTTCTTTATGTTTTGTTTGATCGTACAGTAGCCTGTTTAGACTCTTTATCCACGTATAATGATATTTACCATCTTTTTCGATCAGAAATGAATTGATTCTGGGGATATTTTCCGGAGCGGAGCTTAACCTGTGTACAACAATTCCTTTAGAATGTCCGAAAACATTTATAGCTAAATTATTTTGCTTTTCCACCTTATCAATTTGTGATATTGGTGTAGGTTCGTCTATACCATCGAAGTTGAGTCCATCATTTTGGGGATAGCTAGAAGGTCTATCCGGATTTTTGTCTACGGGGAACCATGCAGATCTTATCATCATTCTTAAACAGTCATCGGATTTATTTTTTACGTTAATTATGGCTTTTTTCTTCTTATAATACGGGGGTAAATCTATATAAGATCCACCTTTGAAGGGCATATAATTTGCTATATCTAAATATAAACTATCGATTTTATCCACACCCCAACCCGAACCTCTATTAGTCCAGTGTTCTAAAGTTTCCTGTATTCTCTGAATTGATGTATCTAATGATGAGTTTATAGTATCGGATTCGGTTATAACTTCTTGATTGCTACGGAAATATGGTTCGGTATATTCGGTGCTATCGTCTGTGTTACTTTTACTCAATGTCATTTTAATCGTCAGCTGGTATTTTACACTATGTAAAT